CTCCTCACCATGCACCACTCTGCCTTACCCTTGCACCACTCTGCCTTCCCTTTGCATCAAACTCCCTTCCCGTCGTAGACCACCCCCCTTCCCGTGCACTACTCTCCCTTCCCGAACGGTCCTTGCCCTGCCTGCCCTGTAGACTCGTCACCGATTTGAAGCCACAGTAGTTGCGTGCTTGCGTTGCGTGCGTGCTTGCTTGCGTGTGTGCTTGCTTGCGTGCTTGGTGGGTGCGTTGGTTGGCTGCTTGAACTGTGCTCTGTCTGTGCATGTGTGAGCAGGACCTTGCGCAACAACTCCCTCAAAGGGTCCATCCCTGCTGCTATCAGCCTCATGACTGACTTGCGCAACCTGTGAGTGCCAGCAGGTCCTAATAGCTGAACTGGATTGGCTGGACCTATGTGAGAATGACTTGTGAAACGTCTTAAAAGGATCCAGATGGTGACAATGTCAGAGTGAGAGTGAGAGTGAGAATCAAACTCAAAATTGAGCCTCCCTCTGCTGCGCGCTCACTCAGTGTGTGTGTGGACAGCAATGGAACTTCTTTTCAATCTTGGCCTCGTGCTGGCCTGTTCCTCCCCCCCTTGTGTGCCATTCTGCTCAATGCTCAACTGAACGTCGCTCAGATCAGAGCTTGGCTTTGCAGATGGGAAGGGGGAACACAGGCAGAATCCCATACTCATACTGCTTTATCCTGCTGTCGAGTGTACAAACCTGACCTTTGAAGCTCTCAACTGCTGATGCCCAGGAAGCCTCTTCTCCCTGCCCCCTCCCCGTTCACCACCCCATTCTTAACTCAACCTTTCCCCTTTGTTGTTCTATGGCATGTTTGTCGTTTTCAGTGGATTGGACCAGAACAAGCTCTCAGGGTCCATTCCCGCTGAATTCAGTGTGATGAAGAGCATATATCGTCTGTAAGAATGCCATTCCTTATGCACATAGGCATGCATTCTGCTGATCGTTCTTGGGCTAATTACCCTTACAGCTTCTTGCTGACAAGAGGACCATGGGGCCTCGCACTTGCATGCTGACACATGCTTGCGTACTAACGCTAGCACATGCGCCAAGCTGTGTACGCCTAAACCTTCCATCCCCCTCGTCCTACCCCACTTCCCCTTCTCCACTGGCCTTGTGGTGTGCGGTGCTGTGGTGTGCTGTGCTGTGGTGTGCGGTGCTGTGGTGTGCGGTGCTGTGGTGTGCGGTGCTGTGTGCCAGAGAGTTGCACCACAACGAGCTGTCAGGATCCATTCCCTCTCAACTCACAGCAATGGAATCCTTGAATCACCTGTGAGAACTCCACACACAGCTGTGCCTGCACGTGCCTGCACGTGCTTTCACACAGTGTCACACACATGCCATACACGCACAGCTGTGTCTGTCTGTGTTGTATGCTCTCAAAAGGCAATGCCCATGTGTCGCATCTGGCTGCCTTGGTGTCGTGGTGCTCTTGCCGTGTCATACAACTGTCCTGCCGTGTGCACAGGCTCTTGGGTTTCAATCAGCTGACCGGCTCAATTCCACCTCTCCCTCGACAGCTCCTCACGCTGTGAGAGTCACCTCTCTTCCCTTCCTCCCTCCCTCCCTTCTTTCCTCCTCCCGCCCTTTTCCCTCCCTTCTTTCCTTCCTCCCTCCCTTCTTTCCTCCCTCCCTCCCTTCCTTTCTTCCTTCCTCCCTCCGACCCTTCTTTCCTTCCTCCCTTATTTCCTCCCTCCCTCCTCCCTTCATTCATCCCTTCCTTCCTTCCACTCTTCCTTCCTCCCTTCATTCCTTTCTTCCTCCCTTCTTCCATCTCCCTTCCCGGTCCATGCTCTATGTGTAAGCCCTGCATCTCACTCATAGAGCACTCATGTTTCTCTTCCATGTTCCATGTTTCTCTTCCACACTGCACTGCACGCTCTTATCGTGTGCTTACTCCTGTCCACTTTATACTTACCCCTCCTCACCATGCATGCACGCACGCAGGGTGTTTCCACTCCACCACACTCTGTGCCACCCGATCTACCCACACATGCACTTCATGCTCTCACACTCACTTCCCTCTGTGCCTCCGTTGGACTCACCTCGCCACATCCGCCATCGCTTGATCCCATCAGACACTGTCTCACCTAATTCGACCTCTTCTTACCTCGTCTGAACCTGTCTGTTGGTACATTAATCTACCGTTTCCTAGTTATTCATCAGTCCATGATTGCTTATCTGTCCGTTCTCGTCTACCCCGGCTGAAGGGATTTGAGGAGCAACCAGTTGGAAGGGAGCATTCCAAAATCGCTCACTTCCCTGAGAAACCTTTATGACTTGTAAGCCCCTCCTCCCTTTGCTCCTCCTCCCCCTCCCCCTCCAACACCCTCCCCCCTCCTCCTCCTCCCCCTCCCCCTCCTCCTCCTCCCCCTCCCCCTCCTCCTCCTCATCCTCCCCCTCCTCCCCCTCCCCCTCCTCCTCACCCTCCTCCCCCTCCCCCTCCTCCTCCTCCTCACCCTCCTCCCCCTCCCCCTCCTCCTCCTCATCCTCCCCCTCCCCCCCCCTCCGCCTCCTCCTCCTCCTCCTCCTCCTCCTCCTCCTCCTCCTCCTCCTCCTCCTCCTCCTCCTCCTCCTCCTCCTCCTCCTCCTCCTCCTCCTCCTCCTCCTCCTCCTCCTCCTCCTCCTCCTCATCCACTCTCCTTCCTCGTACCCATCTCAAGCCCCATACAGTGCCTGTCCATTCCCCATTGAGCTGCTGGTTGTGCATCTCCTCTCTCTTTCTGTCGCTGTTCCTGTGCACTGTGTGCACTGTGTGCACTGTGTGCACTGTGTGCACTGTGTGCGCTGTGTGCGCTGTGTGCGCTGTGTACACTGTGTGCACTGTGTGCGCTGTGTACACTGTGCAGGAACCTGGATGGCAACAGGGTGGAGGGACCTTTACCTACTGTGTTCGGGCCTTCGATTGGCAGCATGTCAGTCCGCCATGTACTGTCTCTTGAGAGGCAAAAGGTTGCTTTGATTGGGAAAAGCACGGGGCAGCACGTAGGATGGAAGAAGAGGATGGAAGGGAAGGACGTGGTTGGGTTGGGGACGAAGTGGTACTTGAGAGGTCGAACAATCTTTTGTCCCTAAATGTGGTTGAAGGGACCAACCACGCTCAAAAGTTATTGCTGTTGCAGGCACCAATCACAATCTACCTACCTCCCTACCTACCTACCTTGTGTTTGGTTTGGTGGCTCCACCATGATAGGTTGGCTTGTCTTGGCACCCCGCAAACACAAATGAACACCCAACATAATGTGCCCAACTCAATTGTACACCACAATCGGTGTCTAGTCACAAAAGCCTAGCCTATCTTCTCTGCGTGTTTGGCCTAGTGTTCTTTCTGAGGCTCTGAGTGAGTTTATTTGTGTGTAGGTTCTGACTGGAGCTTTTACCTGATTGTTTTTGTCGTCCTGTGTTCGCTCACATTGTTTTGCTCCCTGTGTTCATATGTGCGTGTGTGCGTGTATGTGTGTGTGTGTGTGTGTGTGTGTGTGCGTGCGTGCGTGCGTGCGTGTGTGTGTGTGTGTGTGTGTGTGTGTGTGTGTGTGTGTGAGTGCACATGCGGCGTGCACGTGCCGTGGTGAGTGAGGGGCGAATGATCGCTGAGGCCAGTTCGTTGAGTGGCAACCTATTCAGAGGCAGTATTCCTCCCAACTTCTTCTATGTCAACCAGGGACCGTAAGCTCCCTCCCCCATCATGCCAACATCCCCATCAGGTTAACACACCCACCAGGCCAACACACCCCTGTCTTACCGACACAACCGTCATGCGAACATGCATCGTGGCAGAACACATTGTCAGGTCCCCTCCCATGCCATCCCATGCATGCCAATACACCTTCATGTCACCACCGCACACACCATGTCAACACACATCAGACTCCCATTCAGGTCCCATGCACGTCCCCTTCCTCTTTGCTTCTCACCTTTCTTTTCTCCTCCCTGTTTTCCTCTTTTGATTGCTGAAATTGTGGAACACTATTTTTGATTCATTCTTGACGCTTCTCAGCACCCTTATCACCATCATTCATCACCCTTTGCTTCTCCTTCCCTCTTCTGACCTCAGATCAGTTGGGTTGAGCAGTTCGCAACATCCCCAAACCAGCAGCAGCAACGTCCTCCCATTCCTCACATACATGTGCGCTTGCTTGCTGCCACTGTTTCGTACGAATTAGGACCCGTTAGGACCAACCAATTTGTAGCACATATTCTCTATCTACGCATGAAACCATTGCGTGTGCAAGTGTTTGTAGAACCGTGCTGCAAAAGCCCTCTTCTGTACAACAACATGTGTTTGACCCACCATCAGACTGAACTGAAACATGCTCCTCCCTCCTCCATCTCTTTGCACCGACCTCCGCATCCACCCTAACGCAGCTTCTTGCCAAACCTCTCCACCAATCAATGCATGCCATCTGTCTTTCTACTCCCCCCCCCCCAAGGCAGTGACCTAAGCTCCAACTACCTTGATGGAACAATACCCAAAGAGATATCACAGCTCATGCGACTCTGTGTGCTGTGAGCACAGTGCCATTCGACCATCCACGTGCCGTACATTGCTGCGCCTTGAGCCTCGTCTGATTGCTTCCACCCAACGTGCATGCAAGCACGCACCCTTATACAACCCCTTACCCCACTTCCTTCCGTATCTACTTACTTATGGCTTCCGTACTGTACCACCACCCATGGCAGGAACCTGAGCGCCAACTACCTCACTGGAACATTCCCCAAGGAAGTCTTGGAGCTGAAGCAACTCAATCTGCTGTAAGTACTGTGTGTGTGCCTCCTGTGTCTCAAGACCTGTGCCTCGTCTGATTGCTTCCTCTAACTTGTGTTGAGTCCATTATGCGCGTTGATTTGTTGCAACTCCTCCTCACCTGAGGCCTCTACCAATCAGCACATGCCATCTGTACTTCCCATCCCAAAGCAGTGACCTGAGCTCCAACTACTATGATGGAACAATACCCGAGAAGATATATAAGCTCACGAATCTCCAAGTGCTGTATGTCTCAGAATCGTTTTCCTCTTGTAACCTGCACATATCCTACATCGCGTGGGTAGAGTTTGGCACCTGAACCTAGTTTGGGTGTACGACTAAGGTTTACCCTAGTTAGGTTTAGAAATCCAACCAAGGTAACTTAACATCCAAGAACTGAGTCGCTTATCCGTCAATATTTTGTTAAAGAATTACTGGACCCCAAGGTTGGGTTGGGAAATCAATGGAGGCTCATCATTCATGGCGACTGTCGGAGAACCACCTCATCCTTGCAACCTGCTCTTCCTCTTGTCACTCCCTTGCCTTCCTTCTCCTTACGTGGTTGATCAGCCTCAGCCACCACCAATGAAAGAGTTTCCTCCCTCACCCCGTAGGTCCTCCCATAGTGGCGTGCCACCGGATGCTAGATCTGAGGTAACAACTTTCCACTAATATGAGAGAATAACAGGAGAAAAGCAACGAGAGGGTGTTTGGTACTGAATTTACCTGAACCTGGCTCAGTCGCACACTTCTCGATGTGCACCTCGAGCCAGGCCCAGTTGCTTCAGATTGGTTCGTTAGATTCCCACCCCTCGATGTTTCCTCTAACCCTTCCCAACAACTTCGCCTCAACCCCCCATACTCCCCAGCAACTGACCCACAAATTGTAATTATACAAAGACTACACCTGAACCTACACTTGCATCTACACCCGCGCACCAACTGTTATCGCATATGCACGAAGTGCATATTCGGTGACAGCTGTCGGAGAACCACCTCATCCTTGCAACCTGCTCTTCCTCTTGTCACTCCCTTGCCTTCCTTCTCCTTACGTGGTTGATCAGCCTCAGCCACCACCTGCCCCCTCCTGTGCCCGTGCTCGGGCTGCTTGAGCTCGGGTCAGAGGACCATCCTGCCGTGTTGCTCTGATGTGCCTTCACCGGTATTTCTTTCTCATTCTCCAGCACCAGCACCCCAGATTCACGCACCTCTTTTACTCTCCACTACCCTGCTTCACAACTTTCCACCCACCCGTTCACTTGCCTGGGCATTCTCTCCCACCACCATTCCCTGTTTAACAGCTGCACCATTCTCTCGTGGTCGAGTTGCCCCTGCTTGGTGTGCACTTCTTTGATTACTGGTTTCCTCTCGCCTGGTGCGGGTATCACCCTCCATCTCTCCGTCGGCTGCATCTGCAGCTCCTGTTGATACCACCTGCAGTGGTGCCCCCCCCTCACTCTCGCTCTCTCTGTCACTGCCTCCTCTTCTTCCGTTTCCCCCATCAGCCACTTCATGGCCTGCTCATTCTCCGAGATGTTTGCTGATTTCCTACTCCCCTTAACCTCATTCAGCACAACCTGCTTAGTCAGCAGCTCCCTAAATTTACCCTTGCATATCTCCTTATCCTCCGGCGGCCTTTTCCTCCTCCCGTGTAACACCAGTTTGCGGCTGCTCAGCTTTAGCTCCCACTGCTTTACCGGGCCCTTACGCCCCTCCTGTGTGGCAAAGCGCCTCCAGTGTTTCGCTAGCATTGCCAACATCACCTTCTTCCCTTCTTCGCTCACTGTCTCTCCCCCCTTCCACTCTGGATTCTCCCCTTCCATGCGGGCCCAGGCTCCTTGCGGGACTGCGGCTGCCTCTGCTTTTCCTCCCACCTGCTCGTCCCGTTCCTCTGCTCCAGTTGCTGCTGATACACCTGCTTCTACCCCCACCTGCTCGTCCCGTTCCTCCGCTCCAGTTGCTGCTGATACACCCGCTTCTGCCCCCACCTGCTCGTCCCGTTCCTCCGCTCCAGTTGCTGCTGATACACCCGCTTCTGCCCCCACCTGCTCGTCCCGTTCCTCCGCTCCAGTTGCTGCTGATACACCCGCTTCTGCCCCCACCTGCTCGTCCTTCTCTTCCGCTTTTGCTACTGCTGATGTGCACGCCTGTGCCCCCACCTTCCCGTCCTTCTCTTCCACTTTTGCTACCGCTGATGTGCACACCTGTGCCCCCACCTTCCCGTCCATCTCTTCAACTTTTGCTACTGCTGATGTGCACGCCTGTGCCCCCACCTTCTCGTTCTCCCCTTCCGCTTCTGCCGCTGCTGGTACGCACGCCTGTGCTCTCACCTTCTCACACCTCCCTTCCGCTTCTGCTACCTCTGGTGTGCTCGCCTGTGCCCCTTGTTTCTTCCCTGGTGATAGAGTTAGTTCAGTCGGAGCATGAGTGCTTGCCATCCACTCAACTTCCCCCGTTCCTGCCGTCATCACAACTATCCCCTTTGCTATCCGCTTCGCTGGTGCCATCAGCCCCTGTTCTTCTGCCATGACCTTCCCTAACATCCTGCTCCGTGCTCCAGTGTCTGTGATCACCGTCTTGACCTTCTCCCCCTCCATTGCCGTCGCCTCATTTCTCACCATCAGTTCTGAGGTCTGGCTTACCCGCCCGTCCCGCGAGTGGCGAGCTACAACGTCCCTTGGTGTCGTCTCCTCTGCCTGCTGCCCCTTCTCTCCTCCCTTTTGTCGGTGCTCCTGGAGGTCGTCCTTCCCTCCACTCCGTAGTCCCATCTCTTCCCTTCCCTTCCATGCCACGTACGCGCGCTGCACCTCCTGCTCTACTTCCCTGTCATCCTCATCCCTGGCGCTCGTTCCTGCCTCTGCTTCCCGCCTTTGTCTGAGTGCCTGCAGCTGTGCCTGTAGCCTGCTGAGCTCATGTTCCAGCTCTTCCGGGTTCCCCTTTGCTGTCCCCTCCCGCTGGTAGCAGTCCTTCGCTTCACGTCCCTTCTTGCTGGAAATTTCACACCACGATGCATCTGGGCACTCTCTCCTCAAGTATCCTGGCTTCCCACAGCGATCACAGTTCTTGCAATCTCTCCTAACGTGCCCCGACTGTCCGCATCTGTAGCAGGTCCTGTTGTCTGCCCTACCATCCCCTCGTCCCTCTGACCTTCCCTGATCTTCAGATACCATTGCTGCTGCCCTTATCGGCCCACAGCTCCTCTCTGTCGTTTGTGGCCAGTACGCTTCAAACTTCCTCTGCGCAAACTCTATTTTCTCTGCCAACTCGAAGACTTCATCCAGCGTTGTGTCTGCCCCCATTTCGTACACCCTCATCCGCAATCCGCTTCCCATGGTGCTGTCGAGTCCATCCAGGAACTTGCTAACAAGAAGGCCCATGTCTGCACATGTTACATCCTCCGCCAGGTTGATCAGCCGGTTGTAGTAGGTAAGCAACGACTCGCTCCACCCCTTTCTGAAATTCTGAAATTCTCTTATCTTCTCCGCGGTGTGCCCTGGAAACTGCTGCTGTAACTGTTTCAGAAATGCTTCCGTGGGGTCTTCCCCGTACCTTCCTGCCCTCTCTAGCAACTCATCCATCTTCATTCTGTACAGCGTTTCCGCCTCCCCTTCCAGTGTGTTCGGCTGACTCAGAAAAAAATCCACCGAGTCCATACCACTCCTCTCGCACCTGTATCTCACATTCCCTACTTGCATTAAGTAGTTCTTGAGTGAGGGCCCTGTGCGCTGATCTCCCGCGAATCGCGCCGGCACTTCCACTTGCTCAAACATCGCCGTGCTCCCCCGACCGTCTCCCCATGATTTACTCAGTCCTCTCGCCTGCCTTCCTGATGACTCCCTCTCCCTTGCTCTCTTGATTCTTTCCCTTGCCACTCTGGCGCGCTCCGTGCTGTATGCCAGCCCGCCGCCTCCCCCTTCGCGTCCGCGCTGGTCCTGTCCCACCTCCCTTCGCATGTCCTCCGCACTCATCCGTGCTCCTGCTCGCCCCGACTGCCTCTCTGGCGAGTAATGCGCCCTCGCCCAGCCTTCTCTATGCGTTCCTCGCTGCCAGTGCCTCTCGGACGAAGGGGATCTCTCGTCCCTTCTCCCTCCGTGCCCGCGGCGACTGTCTTGCAGATGCCACTCCTCCTCCCATCTCCCTCCCTGCTTGCGCTGCAGACCTGGCGAACGTGTCTCACCCCTTGCCCTTCCCGCGTAGTGCCGCCACGGATCAGGTGAGCCAGACCCGCCAGTCTGTCGTCTATCATGTTGCCCATGCCGATCAGGCGAGCGCGACCTGCCCCCCTGCCTCCCATCATGGTGCTGACGCACCTCAGGCGAGCGCGACCCTCCGTTCCGCCCTCCTCCGCGCTGCCAACGCGGATCAGGTGAGAACTCGTCCTCGCGCACTTCCTGTTGCTCCTCCGCCCGCCCCCGCTGCTGCTCTGATGAGTGATTCACCTTCTCACGCCTCTCCTGCTTCCTGCGTCGGCGCCGCTCCAGATTATACCCATATTCCTCCTCTTCACTATACTCATGTTCCTTCGCTTCACACAGCTCCTCATCACTCCTTTTCGTCTTCTCCCTCCCTTCCTTACCCTCAGGGGAATCTTCTTGACACCGCCTCCCTCGTCCGCCTGCTCCTCGGCGCCCATGATATTCTCTTACCCTTCCCTTGGCACTTCCCGAGTCCTTCCTTGGGGACACATCTCGCTGGCAGCGCTCTTCCTCATCCCTCCTCCTGTGTCTCTCTCTCTCTTGTCTCCCCCTTGCCTCTCCGTCAGGCTCCAGCACCAACCCTGCTCCTGCGCACGGGTACTCTTTCATTCCTTTACGGCGTGCTCTGGCATCCGCCCCCGCGATGTACTGCGACAAACACTCACTCCCCTTAACACGCGCTTCCCCCTCCTCCTGCCGCTGCCGTGCGGCGAGCGCTGCGCGTGCCCCCTACCGCGGTCGTTCCCCCTTTCCTCTCGCCGCAGCTCTGGTGATCGCCCTCCACCCAACGCCAGGCGCCTCCTGCGCTCGTGTCCGCGTCTTGGTTCAGGCGAGCCATACATACCCGCCTGCGCGTCTCGCCTCCTCATTTCCTCACGGCTGGCTTCTGGCGCGCGCTCAGCCTCCTTATCTTCGCCGTGCCTTGCGTTACTTCCGCGCATCCTGCCTGGCGAGCGATTTGCATCCGTGCTCCCCCGGCGCCCCGCACCATTCTCAAGCATTTCGCCCACCGACCCGTCTGCATCCGCGCTACCGCGGCGCCTCGCGCCATCCCTGCGCATTTCGCCCGTCGAATCGTCTGAATCCGCGCTCCCGCGGCGCCTTACGCTGCCGTCACCCATTTCGTCCGCCGCGCGACCTGAATCCGCGCTTCCATGGCGCCTTACGCTGCCGTCACCCATTTTGTCCGCCACACGACCTGAATCCGCGCTTCCCTGGCGCCTTACGCTGCCGTCACCCATTTCGTCCGCCGCGCGACCTGAATCCGCGCTCCCCTGGCGCCTTACGCTGCCGTCACCCATTTCGTCCGCCGCGCGACCTGAATCCGCGCTTCCCTGGCGCCTTACGCTGCCGTCACCCATTTCGTCCGCCGCGCGACCTGAATCCGTGCTTCCCTGGCGCCTTACGCTGCCGTCACCCATTTCGTCCGCCGCGCGACCTGAATCCGCGCTTCCCTGGCGCCTTACGCTGCCGTCACCCATTTCGTCCGCCGCGCGACCTGCATCCGCGCTTCCGCGGCGCCTTGCGCTGCCTCCGCGCATCCCTTCCGGCGAGCCACTTGCTCCCGCGTCCTTGCTCCCGTCGTCGCGCTCTTCTTCCGCGCCTTTTTCCTCTTCACCATCCCGCACCATCGGGATCTGGTGTGTTTCTTCCTCGCCGTCGGCCTCGTTTGCCGAATCCGACGAGTCCACCACGTCCGCGTCGTCGCGACGCCTTACACCCTCTCCTTGCTGGCCGCGTGCCAGATTCCAAGGGTCACCGCTGGACGGTTGAGGCCTGGGCTCCGATCCCGCGTGCAGATCGTCCTCGCCTCCATCTCGACGCCCTTCAACGTGCAGATCTGCGCGGTCCGCCGCCCTCCTTGGCGACCACTCCCGCGATCTTCCTCGCTCCTGCGAGCGCGTCCTCCGCGACGGCGGCGTTTCCCGACGCGAGTACATCTGCTGCCAGCGCAGCTCGTGGCAGTCCATACTGCCCAAACGTTCTCTCTGCTTTTCTCCTGTTTTGAAAGAGTTTCCTCCCTCACCCCGTAGGTCCTCCCATAGTGGCGTGCCACCGGATGCTAGATCTGAGGTAACAGCTTTCCACTAATATGAGAGAATAACAGGAGAAAAGCAACGAGAGGGTGTTTGGTACTGAATTTACCTGAAAATGGCTCAGTCGCACACTTCTCGATGTGCACCTCGAGCCAGGCCCAGTTGCTTCAGATTGGTTTGTTAGATTCCCACCCCTCGATGTTTCCTCTAACCCTTCCCAACAACTTCGCCTCAACCCCCCATACTCCCCAGCAACTCACCCACAAATTGTAATCATACAAACACTACACCTGAACCTACACTTGCATCTACACCCGCGCACCAACTGTTATCGCATATGCACGAAGTGCATATTCGGTGACACGACTCACATTTGACCGAGATTATTGGGACGCCCCAATCATTTATCAACCCAAGTTATTGGTGGGGATCAATCAATAATGTTGGCAAAACTTCGAACCATTCTCCCTAGCTCATGCAACTCAGTGTGCTGTGAGTACCGTGCACCACTTTTGTCCCAACAAGCTGTGTGACACAGTACTTATCAATCTCTCTTAAGCCTCATCTCTCTGCGTCCATCAACGTTAGTTGCTGCCTCACCATCTCTCTTTCCTCCTCCTCACCCTACGAACCGGCTGCCCAGCTAATCATCCCTTCTTTGCCCTTTGCTCCTTGTGCTTCTGCTACTTACCCTGTGCCCCCGTGTCAGTGACCTGAGCAACAATGGCCTGAGTGGGAGTCTGCCACAGAGCTTGTCGGGCCTCACTCAACTCTCAGTCCTGTGAGCGACTATGCAGTTTAGCAACACGTTACCACTCGCATTTCTGCTAAGTGACGGTGCATTGAAAGAGATGCCGGCCTTGTGTGCTACTCGGCTTGTGACCTGTGTACATCACTCATCCCCAAGCTTGTCTACCAATCAGCACATGCATCCCGTATCGTATGTACTTCCCAAAGCAGTGACCTTAGCTCCAACTTCCTGGATGGAACCATCCCCGATATGATCTCCGAGCTGACGCAACTCAGCGTGCTGTAAGCCCCCGTTTCTCCTCCTCTTGCTCAACCTGTCTGCGCCTTAGCTGCCCAGCCGAATCAGCCAACCAAATCACAGATGTTGTACTCTCCTCTTCACCATATGTTCCAAGCACCCTGTTTCCTGCGTTTATGTGTTTCTGGCCTTTTGCGTCTGTTCCAGTGACTTGAGCAACAATGGCCTCACTGGGAGTGTGCCACAGGGCTTGTCCAATCTCAAACAACTTAGAGTCCTGTGAGTGTAGGTGCTTTCGTAGCAGTAGTAGTAACCGTTTAAAGCGCCCCAAGAACTGAGCTTCAGGCCCTGCAACTGCAAGTGTCAATGCTTTGCAGTCAACCAGCACCTTCACTCACGTATGATTGGCCTCAACTCAGTGGTGTAAGTGATGTAATGTGTGCCTCTTCGGTTCCAAAAAACGTTGTGCTCATCTCATCTCTCTGGCTTGTACATAATCTGCTTCTTCCACCAACTTGCACGCATGCACACCTTACCAACGGAACTCCTCGACTTATGTTTCTGCTGTAAAAAATGCCATCCTTTCTCCCCAAGGCAGTGACCTTAGCTTCAACTCCCTTGATGGAACAATCCCCGAGGGGATATCTGAGCTCACACAACTCAGTGTGCTGTAAGAACTGTTCGCCTCTTCTCTCCCAAGAACGGTGCAACGAATTGCACATCCCTCTTTCCTCAGCCTCATCTGTTTGCGCCTACCAACGTTTGTTGCTGCCTCACCATCTCTCCTTCCTCTTCCCTCCTCCTCCTCTTCCTCGTCCTACAACTCGGTTGCTCAGCATGTCAAGTAAAACTTGTCTAGTGTTTATGTTGCTTGAACACTTATTCGTGCCTCTTGCTCCTTGTGCTTCCGTGTCTTACCCTGTGCGCCCGTGTCAGTGACATGAGTAACAACCGCCTGAGCGGGAGTGTGCCACAGGCCTTGACCGGCCTCACTCAACTCACAGTCCTGTAAGTGTCAAGGCATTGGTGAGTGTCTAACACACTAGCTCTCCCATTATTGTAAGCGACGGTGGTTCCTAGCACCACCAGTTCACACTTATGTGAGTGTTACTGGTTTGTACCAACACCAAGAACTTACAAATCAATGAATGTCTGTCCGGTATGTGAATGTCAGTGGTTGCTTGCCACCCCCCATTGTTAAACAAGTAATGTGGTTATGTTGTTTTATCTAAGGGCGTGGTAGAGAGTGTACTACGCTCAGTGTACAGTTTGCGCAGTGCAGTGCAGTGCAGTACGGTGAGGTAAAACTGTTGTTCGTGCTTGACCATTTTGGATCTTGAAGTACCTGAAAACACCTAAATAGTGTGCAAGACCTTACGAGTCGTAAGCCCACAACTCCCAAAGAGCTGAACGTGAAGTCAAGCTCGGTCTATGATTGACAATCCATCCATCCAACTATACGCCCCATGGCCTTCGACCACTCATCAACTGGCCGGTTTCTTGCCGTTTTCTTACAATATCTTCCTTTCGTTTTGTCATCCCTCGTTCCCTCCTTCACCCTTTTTCCCTTCCTTCACCCTATTTCATCCTACTCACTCCCCTCCTGATCCCGCGACAGAAAACTGCGCAACAACCAGCTGGGCGGCTGTCTGCTGCAGCCCATCCCACCATCCATCAAGCAGTACCAGCTAGACAGCAACTTCTTCTCCTGCGGCTTCTCCTCTCCACCCGACTGCACCCAGACCATCATAGCCGTGCAAGCCAACTGCCTGGGCGCCACCGATGTCCCGCCCTGCCCCATGGACCCCCAGCGCGTGCTCGAGGTCTGTGCTTCCTTCTGCGGCCTCTCCCCGTCCTCGCCTGCTTGCGCTGGGCATGGTGTCTGCTTCTATTCCGGGCCCAGCAGGATCCCCACCTGCGCCTGCAACACCGGGTATGCCAACGGGGAGCTCTCAGGGACGTGCGTGGCAATTGTTGCTGCTGGTGGGGCGCCTGTAGAAGACCTGTCCTTTCTGACCCCTCTGAGTGTTTCTTGCAACGATGGTGGCGGCGCGGCGATGGCGGTGAAGGGAGCAGCAGCGACGCGGCCGGATAACAGCGTGGTGCTGACGAGCAACGAGCAGGCGGCGTGGGGAGCGGCGTTCCTGGTGTCGCGCGTGCGCCTCTTCTCCTACGCCGTCAAGAACCACTCGTGCGGCCGCGAGGTCGCCCTCAAGCTCTCCTTCTCCTTCTCCATCGCCCCGGCCACCGGCAGCAATGGCGTCGGGAAGGGCGGCCTCGCGTTTGTGATCGTGGCAACGGATGCCGTCCCTGGTGGGGACGGCAGCACGTTAGGTTACTCCGGCATGGACGAGCGCAGTCTTGCAGTGGAGTTTGACACGTTTAAAGATGCGAGCAGTGGAGACCCAGGCAACAGCCACGTGGGCATCAACGTGGGTGGCTCCGTGGTCTCTATTTCCACGGCTACTGTGCCAGGGCTCAACACAGGCAGCACCAAACACGCATGGATTGAATACTCTCCAGGGAAGGGCGGGCTGCTGGCGGTGTATGTGGGCAGTGCGGCCACTCGCCCGGCCAAGCCCGCTCTCACACGCCGCGTGTCGCTGTGTGATGTGCTGAGGCCGACGTTTGAGGAGGCCACGTTTGTGGTTGGCTTCACTGCCGCCTCGTCTGACCCCCCTCAGAAACACACGGTGCTGCAGTGGTCGCTGGATACAGGTACTTGCGTACTTGGTAGTCTCTGGGTTGTTGTTATCCCTGCCAGGAGCATGCGCTGGCTTTGCTGCCCAACAGGCAACTGTTTTTCTTGTTGCCAGATCTGTGCTCCTGCGTTGCTGCTCTCCCCCTCCCCGGTTGCAAATACTGCGCAAGCTTTTCCTTTCTTGGTGCCGCTTGAATGGACTGCGCTTAATCTTTGCCAGTCTTGTCTTTTCCCTCTCTCCCCATTCTTTTTCTCTTGCAGATTTTCCAACCCAGGGCGTTTCAGCAGGTAGGGCATGGCATGATGCAGTTTGGAAGTATGCGCAGCGCATGGTGCGAGCACCTACCTGTTATATATGTGTGCTGCGTCAGAGCATGTCACTTTTAGATTCTATTCTAACCACCATGAGACTGTTGCTGCTGGTGCTGTTATGCCTGGCTGCCTCCAATCCACTCCAACACCCCATCACCTTCCCCACTTCACTTCACCTCTCTATTGCTCTCGTCTCCTGCCCACTGCCGCACTTGTTTCTCCGCCTCTTCCATCCCTCTCCCATCTCTGCCACTCCCTTGATCACGTTTCGCCCGCCCTGCTTCCGCCACCACAGCCCTGCCGCTGGGCTTCACACTAGCAGAGGCCACGTTCACCACCTCGGGAGTCAACCGCTACTTCCGCTACGCCAGTTCCGGCGCGCGGTTACCACCCGCACCAGCAGTACCTGCAGCAGCAGGCGCAGGGGCAGGTGCAGAGGAGGAGCAGCAGTGGGCGGTGGCGACGAACATGACATGGGTTCGCCCAGATCTTCTGCCCAGCTGGCCGGTGCGCAACCAAGCGGGGTGCGGCAACTGCTGGGCGCAAGCTGTGGTGGCCAGTATAGAAGCAGCCTATGCTATCCTCGCAGCCAACGGCTCACTGCCTGTCTTCTCCGTCGCCTCGCTCGTTGCCGACATGAAGGCTGACTGCTCCGGAGGATCGCCCTCCAAGGCATTCCAGTACCTGCTTGCTGTTGCCAAGCGCGGCGGGGGGCTGCAAGCGGAACGGGTGCGAGCAGGGGGGGTTGTGGCGAGGCCTGGAGGGACGGGTGCGATGGGTGTGGGTGTGGCAGAGGGAAGCAGTACGGTGGGGAGGCAGGGGAAACAGGGGTCACCGGCGGGGGCAGCAGCAGGTCAGAGTCAGAGTCCGCTGTGCTCTCCGCTGCTGAAGCCGATAGCGGCGCTTCTGGGATTGAAGTGCACAGCCAAGGAGAAAGCCGAGGCTGGCACGGTGAGTGGAGTGGAGTGGAGTGGAGTGGAGTGTTTCGACTTGAGGCTCCTGAGAGATAGATTTTGGGAGTGAAGTGCACAATAAAGGAGAAAGCCGGGGCCGGGATAGTTATGAGTGAAGTGGTGGAGTGTGATGGTGAGGGAGACTGGACAAACTTCATTGTATGAAACGAAGTGTGTCCCTCCTTCCCTCTGGGGACAGAAGCAGACGTTGCAAAGGCTGAGTGAGTTAGCCGTTCACCCGGATGTCAACCCTCTCTGTGAACTGTGTAGTATCTGTTGTCAGTGCGATTGCTGTACTACTACTCATTGTACTCCTCGTTATCCTCATTGTTTGCGTCCAGTCCATCACCTCCTCCTTCGAATGCTGATGATGATGGGCGCATCACTCTCACCTCTGGCATTCTTTCTTCTTCATTCTCATGTTGCGTCTAACCTGGGCTGGCATGACGCATGCAAGCAGGTGCGCCCGGGCTACAGCATAACGGGCTTTGAGCGGGCGGCATTCTACAGCTGGTTCGGCCTGGTGCTGGCCGTGCAGCGGCAGCCCGTGGTGGTGCACATAGAGGCGTCTGCTGACTCCTTCCTCAACTACGATGGGGTCAGTTGCCCAGCCTCTCCATCCTTCCATAAATCTCACAGCGGCAGCCAGTGGTGAGTCACCGCGTGTCCCTCACTCTCTCTCTTTGTCGAAAATTCTCGGAAGTAACTCCAGTGCAGCGGCAGCCAGTGCTGGAGCACGTAGAGGCGTCTGCTGCTGACTCATTCTTCAACTACAAAGAGGCCAGTCGCTGCGCTCCTCTCTCTCAATCGGTCTCGTGGATTACTTTGTATCTCGTGTACAGCACGACAACAAGCAAAGCACACAGGGAAGGTAAGTAGCCTGAGGTTCTATAAGTCGCTGCGCACCCTTTCTCTCTTGATGGAGCCTCTTGCCGGTGGGTGGGTGGAGGTGCACGTTGATGCAGCCTCTTGCAGAGAAAAAGGAGTCGAAACACTGAAAGCCCATGGGTTGGTGGGTGGGAGGGAAGGCCGGTGGGTGGGTGGAGGTTCACGTGTTCTAATGCAGCCTCTGGTGCTGCTGTCCATTGTGATGGGGTGGGCACCTGTTCTAACAGGCCGGTGCATACACACACGCACAAGAATCAATCGCATGTCTTCTTCTTTCACCATACATATACCCCGCTTCACATGTCTGCTTGATCACGTGAGTGAGTGGCCACCTTGCCCGCCCACACGCGCCTGCAGTGATTGCGCAGGCATTTCTTTTCTACTGCTCTGTGAGACAAGCGCTTCTCCATACCACACTCACAACATGCATACCCATTACACTGTGCAGCTGTCCAAGTACCAGGACCCAGCGTGCTTCACGTACAACCTGAACCACGTGGTGCTGCTGGTGGGGTACCGCCTGGTGGGGGCAGATGAAGCCTTCCCCCACATGGCGCCGCCCTTCTGGATCATCCGCAACTCATGGGGGCCTGACTGGGGCGATGGGGGCCACATGCGCATGGACATCCAGGGGGGGGATGGCGTGTGCGGCATCAACACGCTGCCGGGGATCTACCCGATTGTCATTGGTATGGTGATGATGATGATGATGATGATGATGATGATGATGATGATGATGATGATGATGATGATGATGATGATGATGATGATGATGATGATGATGATGATGATGATGATGATGATGATGATGATGATGATGATGATGATGATGATGATGATGATGATGATGATGATGATGATGATGATGATGATGATGATGATGATGATGATGATGATGATGATGATGATGATGGTGATGATGATGAGGGGATGGGGATGGGGATGGGGATGGGGATGGTGATGGTGATGGTGATGGTGATGGTGATGGTGATGCCGCTGCCATAAGGCCACGTAAGTGAGGTGATATTCCGTCTCTGAGCTTGCTGCCTGCCATGCATGTGATGCAAGCATGGTGCAAAGGATGCAAGTAAGAAAATATCCTTTGCATCGTGGTCCCCCAACAAATGGTTGTTCTTTACTTAAAGCTGTTGCCTACATACCTCCTGCGGGAGGACCTGGTTTATCACTTGAAAACCAGGTAGCACAGGGCTTCGCTCCATCCTTGGGTGGCGAGGTGCAGTTACTGCTTTCTGACAACCCAACCCCCCCTTTGAAAGTTGGCCTGCTCATGATTGGCTTACATATTTCGCGCCAATCTACCCCCAAACTCGATTGGTTGCAGGTTGTGGCGAAATCGCCACCACAATTCCAACCTCACGAAAAAAGTACCCCCCCAACCAAACCTTGCACGAAACTGGCGGGATTCGCCAGTTGTGTTTGAATCCTTCGCGCTCTCATTTCTGGAAAGGGATCATTTCGTGTGCAAATCAGACTGTGTCTTAGGGTGTGCACCCGAAATACCCCCAGAAAATACCCTTTGGTATGTAGACCGCAGCTTTAACAGAACAATGGCGAAAAAGAGAACGATGTCTGTGGTGCTTACCGAGGTCAGGTCACCACATTAGAGACAGAACTCCACCCCGCCTTGTCCCATCTCACTCCACCCCACCCAGACAAGCAGGACCCGTGCAACAGCGGGGCGCACCGGGATCCAATCGGTGCGGTGTTGAACCCGTGTGGCAACTTCACGTGCACGGTCACAGCTGACCGCAGGTCCAACCGCTGCGACTGCAACACCTCATCTGATGGTCGCTTCATTGAGGCCACCAACACCGATGGCTCGCGCACCTGTGCCTATGGTATGATGCCTCCTGCTCTGCTCTGCACCTGTGCCTATGGTACGCATGCCTCCTGTATTTCACACTGTGAGATCTTTCAAGAGCGGCTCACGCACGTGTGGCAATGGTGTGAGGCCTCCTGCATCCCGTCTGTGCCTGTCCCACTCACTTTCGCGTAAAACTGCCAACTTATGCTGCCCCTCTTTGCTGATGAATGCATTCATGCCTCTCGCACACAAACTACACACCCCCACCTTCGCTTCCCTCCTCTCTCCTGCCCCTCTTCATCCACCTATCCCTCATGCACACTCCCCCGTGCTCTCACTCCTCCCTCCCACCGCCCTCCTGCAGTGGACGCCTGTGCAGCGCAAATCCGCAACCCGTGTGCGGTGGGCACGTGTGTGAACGACGGGGCGGGGTCGTACTCGTGTGTGTGTCCACCGGGCTTCAGGCAGGGCACCACCGTCGATGGCACCTTCTCCTGTGCGCCCGGCAGCACCAATGGCACCTACACCGTTGTCTCACCCAATGTCAAGTGCTCAGACGTCTTTCCCATCTACGGCCTCTCCCAGCAGCAATTGATGCAGCAAAACCCGGTGCGCTTGTGTGTGTTCTGCACAAAATCCCCTCTTTTCAAACTTTTCGATTTCACAGTCTCCCTCGGGAGCAACTATGTGGCAGAACCTGGTGCGCGTGTGTGCTCTGCTTGAATTGTGCTCACGACTGCAGTCCAGGCGTGCTGGGCTGCTGCTTCTTTCGTTCCACACCCTGTTTCCTCCCTCTCATCTTGTTTCCCCCAATCGCCCCACTCTCACCTCATCACCTCACTCCCACCCCTCCATCCCGGTAAATGCGTGCCGCCCTGCCACCAGGCCATCTCATGTGACTCTGCTCTACCAATCAACTTGGTGCTCCAAGTCGCCCCACCCACCACCATCACCCCCTGCTCTGTCTACTACACCACTGAACCGGTACGTGGCAGGTGGCGGGTAGTTAGTAGATGGGTGGTACGGGGTAGGCAGTGGGTAAAAGGTGGCCTGTGGGAGTTTCTAGATGGGAGGTGGGTGGTGGATGGTGCTTTATGCACCTCACAAAAAGGGCGAAACGAAGCTGCTCAAGAGTCTGGTGCAACTACTGAGTCCAGTGCAAGTTGTCACTACCATCGCCCCCTGCTCCATCTACTCGACACACCGAGCACGTCAGCAAAGTCCTATCTGCTCTTTGTGCGTCACTCTCCCCCTGCCCACCCCCTGCCCCCTGGCTGGCCCCCATCTGCCCCCTGCCTGCCTCTTGCTGTCCCCTCCCTGTCCCCTCCCTGCCCTCTCCCCTTCTCCCTCCCTGCCCACTCCCTGCCCCCTGCCCTCCTGCCTCTCGTCCCAGGGCGACACCTGTGAGGCCCTGGCGACCTACTTCGCTCTGGCCAGCACCTGTCCGTCCCCCGAGTGCACGGCAGCCTTGCAGGCGCTCAACCCGGGGGTGGACTGCAGCGCCAACAGCGGGCAGCTGCCGGCGAGCCAGGCGGTGTGTGTGGAGCGGCGGGCGGAGATGGTGGGGGTGGTGGCGCTGTGCTCGCAGTATTACTTCGTGGAGAGCGCCGAGACGTGTGAGTCCATCCGCAACGTGCCCGACCCGCCTCTCTCCCGCGTCGACTTCTACCGTCTCAACCCCGGCATCAAGTGCAGCCGCCTCGTGCCCAAGACGGACGTTGGCAGCTTCACCGGCTTCGAGGTGAGCCTGGGGTGATACAACTGAGTCATATATGACTCTTGAGTCGACTTGGTGATCACCTTGTGGTTTATGCTTCACTCGCTTTGAGGTGAGTTTGGGGTGATTTCAGAGTTGACTCGGTACGTGGCTCGTTGTTCACTCGGTGCGCTACATGTCATTCGCAGGCTTGTGTTGGGAGCATGGACAGTCTTGTCCAGGGGACCTGTCCACGTGCCACTGCAATTACAATTGGTACCGGTGATCGCTGCACAGCAATCCAAGTCAAGTATTTCCGAGGCGTGAAAGGTTGCTACAGGCACATAAATGGTTACGACTGCATAGACAAACTGATTAAGGGTACCAAAGTGTGCATTCCAAGCAAGGTGAAAATAGCCAAGGGTAAATGTGAGGCCTGATGCAAAGCCTATTTACTGGTTCGCAAGCGGTAAATGCGAGCCTTGAGCTTCATAGTAAGGCATGCCTACTTTGTGGTATGAGTGCAGGGCTGACGCTATCAGAGTAAATAGTCTGATTAGTCTGACGGATCAGACCATCGAGTTTGTGAAAAATGGAATTCCAGAGTAGTCAAATTTTCATCACTGAGAGCCTCAGAGTTATTGTTTCATGGCCCCTGATTTAGTGTAATAGGCCTAAGTGTTAGTCATTTCTGGAGTCTGTCACTACAGAGTATGCGTTCTGTGGTCCCTGCATGCGAGTTTATCGGGAGGAAGCTTCCTCGAAATTTCCTTTCGATACACCCACCTCCGAGGTGGCAGCGAATGCCAACACGTGAGCAAAGCACACAGCACCTGCTGCGATATCTGAATACACTCTATCTGTGGCAGTATCACGCAGGTTGAATTGTATCCCACTGTGGGTTAACTGTTGAAGCGGGCTAGAAAAAGAAGCCCTATAGTGATGTCTTCGCGGATAGCACAACAAATCGGCGAATTGGTGGGAGAGGATATCTTGCTACAGGTAATGTATCGCACTTTTTGGTGCTGAAATCGAAAATTTCTCCGCACCACAGCACTTGAAATAAAGTGTTCCTGATTCATACCGGTAGGTTGAAATTTTATGTTGCGGAGGCACCGGCAGATTCTCGCGCGCCAAGTGGTGGTTTGTGTTTTGTGCCAGCTCAGCTGCGTGGCAGGTCGCCCAGTTGGCACTTGCAAAGTTGCGCCAAATCGAGCCAATGTTGCAACAGTCCTTCTCGCCAGGGCTCAGGTTTGAAGTGTAATTTACCCTTCTGTACTGATTAGAAGGGTGATTTTTTTGGTATACACTTAGCCTCTGGGGTAAATTTTCACTGAACATGTGTTACACTGATATGGAAGTGTATCGTTTTTTGCCACACTGATGCTGTGGGTAATTTTATAGTTATCGAAGTTTACACTGTTGAGCGTACAGAACACACCCCCCCCCCCCCCAAAAAAACCACAGAAATTTGTCAGAGCGTGATTTCCATCAATCACGCAAGTACCAAGGTTACCTTCTGTTCAGGACTTGCACTGGTCGCAGTCACGCGTCTGATTGGTCACTTAGGCAAGATTCCCTTGCCAGCTCGCCACGAAACTCCGGTTTGGCAGCAAATACAGTATTGCTGCCTGAACTTGTGTAATCATTAGGACCACATACTCTGCCACCGACATCTCCCCGCAGCGTCATTCCACCACCACCCCTCTCCGCCTCCTGTTTGTACCACCCCTTCTAGTACCCGAGCGATGTCTAGCTCGTTCCCATGGCACCTCCTGGAGACCCTTACGAAGCTAGTGGTGGTGATGGAGACCCGTCTAGTAGCACCAGGCCTAGGACTGGCCTCGATTTCTTGCGAGGCCATGTTACAGAAGCTGCACCCAACCCTTTGCCAGAGACGTATGTTGACAGTGAGGGGTGGCACTATCCCGTGCGCAAAGTTCCGCCACAGTCACCATCGCGGCAGCAGGAGCAAGACAACGATGACGATGCGGACACCGTCGTCCGCGACCACGTGGTAACGACGGAGATCGTTACGGAAGCACCTGAATCTTCTAACTCGGTGGCGCTGAAACGACCCCGCTACATGCAGACGACCATTGGGTTTGGCACCGGCACGCCTCTCGTGAGACCTCCTCCTCCGCCACCTTCCACTGTTACTCCCGCGCCGTCTCCTCTCAAACTGACTGCCTCGGAACGCAATGCTGCGAAGTTCCTGGAGGCTCAGCGAAACTACATCACGAAGTGGCTCCCGCAGTTCGACTGGCTATTGCTCGACAAGGGTGAGGATGGGCTGCCTCGTTTGCGTTGCAGTGTGTGCAGTGAACATGGCCCAGACAACGCACGTTACGGGAGGAATGGTTGCGGTGGACGCGACTTGCAGCCAGCGTCTATGCGTGCGCACCAGGCAAGCACTCGCCACGAGGAGTGCATCGACCGTCAGAGGGGGCTTCTCGACAAGCTGGCGGCGCAGAAGAAGATAGACGACTACGAGAGAGCCGACCCTGAGAGCGCGCGCGTGGTCAGGCTCATGCGGAGCATTCAGTTTGTGTGCGACGAGGACGCGCCGATCTCAATGTTCCCGCGCCTCGTGGAGTTTCTGGCCAGGGAGGGTATTTCGGACATCCCTCAGCAGGGCTACGGCGTTTACATCACTGAGTGAGTACAGGGCGGGTATCCCATGTAGAGGATGTGATCACAACCTCGTCGATGACTAATCTGTGTGTGCGCTTCTTGCAGGTACGGTTTCCAGGAGATGGTGAAGGCAATGAGCTCCTATCAGCAGCAACAACAGCTCAAGCACGTACACGCGTCACCTTGGATCGGCATCAGCTGTGATGAGAGCACGGACAGAGCGCGCGGGAAACATCTGGTGGTGTTCGTGACTTTCCTGAAGCATCGTCAGGTGGCGACCGAGTTCTTTGCGCTGCTGACGGTCCACAAGTGTGACGCTGCTTCAATCTTCACCGTCCTGCTGGCCCACTTGGAGACCGTTGGCATAGATCTGCAGAGGATCGCCGCCATCAGCACAGACGGCGCGGGTGTGATGGTTGGCTGCGAGAGGGGGCTTGTGGTGCGCCTCCGTGAGCGCATCCCTCATCTTGTCGGCACGCACTGCATCGCACATAGGTAAGTGTCGTTTACGTTCAACACATACTGCTCAATCCTACTTGTAAAAGTGTCCTAATGCTAAACGTTTTATTGTGCAGAGAAGCACTAGCTGTGAAGGAGTCGGCGCTGAAGTACAAGGACCTGGACATCGTCGATGCTGCAATCCGAGGGCTTGGCGACATCGTCACCAAGTCTTCCGTCTGGCATGAGCGGTTCAAAGAGCTGCAGCAGGAATTTCACAAGACAAACCTGGAGCACCAGGGGCTTTTTGACGTGAGGTGGCTGTCGCGTGGAGATGCTGTGCAGCGGCTGTGCAAGGTCCTCGGTGCGGCGGTCGTGGTGTTCATCGAGTACGGCCACAAGTTGGCCGCTACGCTTCAGACGCTGAAGTTCCACTTCTGCGTATACTTCTTGGCGGATCTACTTGCAGAGATCAACGCCCTCAACAAATTCTTCCAGCGACGGAAAGTAAGTGATTCATGTGTTGCTGGTTCGTGTGCGTTCGCTTTGCCAAAATTGAATAATGTTTTAACGCAATCTCATTGTACCCGTGGTTATCTCAGGTTGACATCACGCTCGTGCACCAGGTGGTGGACCGCACGATCTCTTGCATCAGGCTGCGCTACGTGGAATACGACAACGGTTTCGGAGGGGGAGTCAGCAACCTGCTGTCGCCCTTCATCGCACGTATGGCCAATGGGAAAAGGAAGATAAAAGTGGACGGCGTGGATTCGGAGGGCGAGCCAACATCGCATGAGATCGTGCTGAGCGAGGAGCCGATAAAAGGACACAAGTTCGGCGGCACGATGGCCGACTGCATCAAGCTCTATAAGGCGTTTGCGCTGGAGGTGGCGACAAATCTGCACACACGCATGTATAGCCTGAAGGACATGGAGGGCAGCAAGCTGTACAAGGTGGAGACGTGGCCAGAAGCGACAGACAAACGGGAGCGACGGGTCGTACAGTGGCTGGATTCTAATGCGCGTGTCTTCTTGAACAGGCTGCCAGGTGTGTTGATGCGTGCGTGGCAAAAAACTCCCGTCCAAGTGCTGTTTGCATGTGCGAAGTCGGTAGACTAATGATTGTGCCTTTTGTCTTATGTTCACGTGGCAGGCTTCAACCACCGAGCGGCGGAGCTGGAACTGAAGTGCTTCTCCCACGTCATGTCGCGACACTACGAGGATGAGGACTTCTACCAAGGGCTGTCGAAGATGCTGAAGACCAAGGACTGGCCACGCAGCTTCCCCAACCTGGTGTCGATGTGGCAGGCGCTCGCAGTGATTCCGTTGAGCACCGTGGAGTGCGAGCGCGGATTCAGCCGCCAAAACGTTATCAAAAGCTGGATGCGCACATCGCTCGGCGACGCCCGTCTATCCGAGCTGATGACTCTCAACATGCTTGACTATGAGTACAAATGGGCCGACGTGGTCGACATCTGGCGGAAGCAGAAGAAGAGGAGACCCGCTAAATCAACAGCTCCATACAATCGCAGTGTTGGAAAGGGCATGGCAATAGGGGAGTCGTCTGATAGCGAGGACGAGCATGATGGATATTGAGTGACTAAAATTTGATTGTTTAATTGATCACGTGTAATAAAAAAAGTCCTAGCCTGCATGCATCAGTGCACATCACGTAACTACACTGACGTCCTAGTGCAATTTTTTAAAAAGTTGATGTTACACTGCTCTATCAGTGTATGGGAAAAACTCACACTGCTTGCAAGTGTTTTCAAAAACCCTACACTGCCAATCGGGAGTAGGCAAAAACGAAACCTGAGCCCTGCTTCTCGCCCTTGAAGCTCACCGACAAACCAGAAGGAAAAAAAAAAAAAAAAAAAAAAAAAAAAAAAAAAAAAAAAAAAAAAAAAAAAAAAAAAAAAAAAAAAAAAAAAAAAAAAAAAAAAAAAACCGCGACTCTGAAGTCATTTCCCCAACACTGAAGGACCAGAGTTGTGTTTTTTTCAACCCTGATTTCTTTTAACACGCTCAGAGTGGCCATTTTGCGGCCGAAGTGCCGTCAGAGTAGAAAAAAAATTTGCGGGTCAAAAACAGGGAGGCGTTTTTTGAAACGTCAGCCCTGTATGAGTGCAATTGAGTGACCGAACGAAGATTGCACTATTG